CTAGCCATACTCTAGGCCGAAACGTCGAAATAAACCACGTTTTGCACGAGTGTTGAAGATTGGGCGAGTTGGTTCATCGTACTTGAACTGGTATAGCGCATTACGGGGAAGAAGAAACGGCCGAGCAGACCGACACAAGAGGACAGAGCGCTAACTTCCAACTGAGCTTTATTGTCAAATTGCATCAAATAAGTAGACCGGCGCAAGCATACAAAACCACCCTAACGCAACGACAAGATAACACACAACATCACACCGTCACATATCACACATTCATAGGCGGTTACTCTGATTAAGGAAGGCCACTTCATGTTCAGATAACCCCAAAGAAGGGGCGCTAATACACGTGCTGCCAGCTCTTGCTATACAATGCGCTTCTATAATTTTCCGAGTTAATTGCGACGGGTGCTTTTTTATCACTTCACACTGGTCAAACATGGGGGTACATCCACAATCGCGACAGTGAATTCCAATGTGGCCCTGGATTGCTTTGTGAGCATTATAATGGTGCTCTTTTAGCCTTTCATTAAGGCATCACCCCGTTTGGCCAAAATACCACATACCACATGAGAATGGAATCGCGTAAACAACCCCCACTACACACGGCACAAACCGAGTTTTGTGCTTAGTTGCGCAGCGAGTGGTGTGTGATTTGAGAGGGTTGACAGCTTTGCAAAGCCGCTGTAACTTATCCGGCGCTGAAAACACCACTTTGACGCTGCATTTCTCCCCTATCTTTTTTAGCCGGTGGGAAATGTCATGCACGTAGGGTAAAACTACGGGTCTTTTTAGGTCGTTAGATTCCGGCTGGGCCTCGGAGTTGCATCCTTTCTTTATCTGTTTTAATAGCTTTTCAGCTATAGATGCCAGTAGGATAGCTGGGTACCCAGCACTCAAAAGCCTTTCAACTTGAGCAGCAAAGCTGCGATGCATGACATGATGACACGATTTCCTAAGAGGATTGTTGAGAGAAAGATTTGTGATGCTGCGCTTAACTAACTTGGAATGGGAAGAGTCATAGGGTAAAAGGGGTTTTCCATTTCTAGGTTCAAATAGCCAGCACACATGGTCAGGTGAAAGAATTAAATTCAAATCTAAAAAGCGTAAGCTATTGTCAACTGGCAACTCATGGGTCAATAAAAGCGGTTTAAAACATTCCTTAAAAGTCATTACAATATCGTCGGTTAGGTGCTGGCAAGCAGCGTCGCTGCAGTCAATGAAAATTAAAAAGTCGTCTACGTAACGACATATTTTGGTGACAAAGTTTTGGTCCAGCATGCTCATCAGCAAGCGGTCATAATAAGCAAGGTATATATCACTAAGGATTGGGGCGAAGCATGACCTGATGCAGACACCACTATTCTGTATGTATTTACGATCATTAAAAGATACAAACGTCGACTTGATGTAAAAGGACAGAAGCTCTAAGAGGTTACTGTTATGGACACCCGTGAGGTTCTGGAAGGCTACACCACCAAATGAGTCAATGGCATTGTCAACACACTGTAACAACTTCTCATGCGGCAAAGAGTAATACAAATCTTTTATATCGACCGAAAAAGCTTTTAAGCCCCTGCCGTTATGTTCCAGAAAGTTGACCAAAATGAAAGTTGACCAAAACTGTGGCATTATTTTTGCAAGAAAAACTCAATTTGCTCACCATCGATGACCCCTTTTTAATTAGGAATTCGGACATTTTGGCTTCTTCACGGGATATTAAGTTATTAGCAACAAACCAAACGCACGCATGCTTATGTCAATGTTATTCAAGTAATCGGAATAGGTACATACAGACAAACACAGGAGATAAACTAATGGGTGTAGCACATGCCTCTAAATAGGTGTACAGGCACTGACAACGTGCTCGTCTTAAATCGGTTAATAGCAAGGAATATGCGAGTGGATGAAGAGCTGGAAACATGCCACGTATTAACAGGGCTTATATAAATGATGGACAATAGTTAACGCGAGCTAAGAACAGATAAATTTCCAATGTGAGATGTAAAGAACAGATATGTACCACGTGGCCTTATCTGTGCCGTGTGAGTGAGCAGGGTTGCTGCTGCTTGTCATGATAATCTCTGTCGAAAATAGTGGTGGGCTCGTGCCGGGTTTCGATGTTTCTTGTTGAAAAGTCATCCTTTGTAATTTCACGTGTTGCTGTTGATGTCCAGATGGGCGCATTTGAAAAAAAAAAGGCAGATCCCACGTACAGAGGGAATTCATGATATGCAAACCACGAATAAGAAAGGTTGATATGTCACTCTGAAATCAGCACAATGTTACGAGACAGAGGTAAATTACACTGTACATAACTTCTATGTCATGATTATTATGTTTGGACATGTCATTCACCTTCTTCATATATTCAAGTCACCTGATACCAAGTTTGGTATATGTAGAACTAGCGAAATGGCCGCGAGCCTGCTATGAGTGTAGCATGCAGTCAACTTTTACATGACACGCATGATATCACTATCATGTTTGGACATGTCATTTACTCCCGTCAGCTATTCACGTTTAAAGATACCAAATTTTGTATATGTAGAGCTACCGAAACATACACGAGCGCGTCATGAGCTTGATATGTTTTCATGTTCTTACATGGCATGCGTGTCATGAATATTATGTTTGAACCAGTCATATACCTTCGTCATTCGTTGACGTCACATAACACCAAATTTAGTATAAGTGAAAATAGCAAAACGGCTGCAAGCATGCTATGAGCGTTATTTGTAGCCATGCTTTATATGAAACGTATATCATCAATATCATGGTTGCACGTGTCGTTTTATTTGTGTAATTATTTGGCAGCCTGAGATCAAATGCATGTATTGAAACATGAATGAATTTTATAGTAGGCTATTTAATGAAATTTTACAAGATTGTCACTTGGTATTTTACAAATCCCTATATATTTTCACTACATTCTAATTTTACAAGAATTGATGACCAAATGCACATATCCTTGAAAAGTCCTCATATGGACAGCCAGTCAACGTTCAAAACTTAATGTCCGGTCGAACATGCAGTTCGGACATCCAGAAAACAGTCACACGGGACATGAATTTTAACAGTACGTTCATTGGCTATCCGTGTTGAATATCCATACGGCTGGACATTTCTATTCAGAATGAACAGCCAGCGGATATCCACGTTTACTTAGGAAGAGGGCTCTAGACATTCCAACTTAGAGCACCGCACGGGCCCAAGCCGGCCCGGAAGCCCAGGCATGGCCCGGTCCGTGGGCCGGGTAAGTGCTTGTTGGATCGGGCTCGGGCTAAGCTCAGGCCTGGGAGCTTCAGACCCAGGTCGGGTCCGGGTCGGCACCAGGCCCAAATCAGGCCTGGGTCTCATACGTATCGGTATACCGACGTGGATATGCTGTTTCACTTTAGTTTGTGGGTTTTAACGTAGCGATATGGCATCATTTGAAACGCTGCATATGAGGGCTTTGGGTAATTTAGAACACTTTAAGTCTAATAGCTTATATGGCAATTGCACAGTACAAGACATTAGCATTTTGCTCCATCGGCATGCTGCACGTAATTTTAAGAAACTAATAATATGACTTTACATAATTGTGTGAAAGACGCTCTTGAGTACTGTGTGAGGAAATGTTTACCAGTTGGTATTGCTGCAAGAGAAATGATATATTGCCTTGAATTGTGTATGAATTGTATACGCGTATTTCGGAAAATATTCTAAGTACGCCGCTACGTTCTCACGCCCACCGCTCGTGTTTCCAGCTGCGTGACGGCGTAGACTGGTGGACATGAGTAGTGAGTCAATAATATATCTGGAGCTATTTTTCGTGGCCTTGAAGTGCATGATGCGTAGTGACTCCTATTCTATATGTGCCTAATGATGCCAATGTTGCCAATTTGTTGTGCTTGCAAGGCAGCTTCATATATGTAGCATGTGGTAGTTTGTAAATAATACTTAAGGGGGCAGACTGGCCTTTGGGACCACAATGCGATAAAAAAATTTATTTTTAAAATTGACATATTTGGTTTCTGCAAGTATCTTTTTATCTCTCTGGAAATTTTCACACACCAGGAAGTGGTAATTTTTTTGTAATGTTATTCAAACTGTCCAGATGCTTGGTGCTGTTAACATGCAGAACCTGCGAAAAAATGGGGAACCGACTTCAAGGCTTCTTTATAATTTGTCGGCACCTCTGTTCGAAGCTGTTACGAGTTTATGAGCACCTTTATGAGGATTGCAAAACATGTGCACTATAATTGTTGCTTTTTGAAGAAGCTGTGTGTTCTCAGTTTTTTCCATTTTTCTCAAAAAATTAAATTTACGACTGTTGAATATTGAGGCCTCGATATCTCTGCAACTTGGAAATGTACAACAACAATTCTTTTTGCAAGGGAAATCTGTATGTGTGTAGAATGCAAGTATTCAGAGCACGAGCCTTTTTAATCAATTACTCATCAAAATTGTTATAATTTCCAACTGCTCTTGAAAACTGCTACATCGTGTCTTGGGTGGAGCACCTAGCTTCCAGGAAGTATGCCAGACCAAGGCTGCCCGAACAAGAACGCTTTATTATTTATCGTTTTTATAGCCACTGTGAAATAATATCAGGTACAATCAGGTGAAACTCTGTGAATTACTTATCAAAATTGTTATAATTTCCAACTGCTCTTGAAAAATGCTACATCGTGTCGTGGGTGGAGCACCTAGCTTCCAGGAAGTATGCCAGACCAAGGCTGCCCGAACAAAAACGCTATATTATTTATCGTTTTTATAGCCACTGTGAAATCATATCAGGTACAATCAGGTGAAACTCTGTGCAAGCATAAACAACGCTGTCTGTAACTGTAGGCTGCCATGCGCACGCACATATAGCGCAATCTACTTTGCAGTAGCCCTTCCTTCTTATGGTGGATACCGCTGTACGGGTTTCTTAGCTCACGTTGAATGCCGTAGCACAGACGCAGCTGATTTTTCAGTGTCGGAGGCTTCATTAGGCTTTTCTTGAGTTTCAGGTGATGACCTGGCAACTGTTTCGCTTGTTGCAGCCTCGGGGCTGTCCCTCAGACGAACCTGGTCCATGTGGTGCTGAGTAGCCGAGCTGAGGTCTCAATGGTCATCATACGGGCGCCGTTCATTTGTTTGGTTGTGCCAGGTAGCCACTTCTTCCCATCTCCGAAGTTCTGGGCCCAAACTGCGTCACCTGGACCAAATCTGCATGGAGTGTCATTCAGCAAAAATAAAGAAAAAGACAATGGCGGAGGAAGACACATGTTTAAATGAGAGCGAATCTGGTAGTTCAGAAGCATTTGCGAAGGTGACTTGTCATCTTGCTGTGTTCTTCGGTAGTTTAAGAGAATCCTGGTCAGTCTTGTAGACAGGCTACCTTGCAGAAGCTTCTTGAGGCCGGCTTCGATTGTACGTAGGGCCTTTTCTGCGAGCCCGTTTGACTGTTGGTGGTATGGTGCAGGTCGTAGGTGTTTCACATTGTTTCCGGACAAGAACTTAGTGAACGTCTTTGATGTACACTGCGTGCCGTTGTCCGCAACAGTTGTCTTAGGAATGCCAAAGCGACTGAACATCTCATGAAACGACATGATGGTCGACTCCGCTGTGGCATGTTGCATAGGCACTGCCTCAATCCATTTGGAATGCGAGTCTATTGTCACTAATATCATGGCATCATTCACTGGGCCGGCAAAATCGAGGTGGACGCGAGACCACATTTCTTGAGTTGGCGGCCAGCTCATGAGTGTCTTCGCCGGAGGCAACGGCCTTGCTTGCACGCATATATCGCAATTCTTACTCAAGTGTTCGATTTGTTGGTATAGTCCCAGCAACCACACATTTGTTCGCGGAACTGCTTTCATAGCCGAGGCTCCTTGATCCGTCTCGTGCAGCATTTTAAGCGTCCTCTCGCGTGCAGCCTCGGGAATGGCTATTCTGTGGCCCCAAAAGATGAGGTCGTGCGCAACCGTCAACTCAATTTTTCTTGCCAGGTACGCTTTTAAGCCTGGTTCCTCGTGTTTTCCTTGTGGCCGACCCTTTAGTATATCGCCCCGTCATGGTGGTCTAGTGGATAAGGTACTCGGCTGCTGACCCGCAGGTCAAGGGATGGAATCTTGGCTGTGGCGGCTGCATTTCCGATGGAGGCGGAAATGTTGTAAGCCCCTGTGCTCAGATATTGGTGCACGTTAAAGAACCTCAGGTGGTCGAAATTTCCGGAGTCCTCCACTACGACGTCTCTCAAAATCATATGGTGGTTTTGGGACGTTAAACTCCACACATGGGCTTGGTGGGCTTGGTGGCTGCTTCGTTTCGTCACCAACTAATCCACTGCTCTTCGCTATGCAGGTGTTATCAGCAGTCGTTGCACATCTGCTTCTTGTTGCCGGTGTGTCCACCCCTGTGCACACATCACCGGATTGTGGATTGCGATGCTTCGACATTGCTCTGACTATCGACCAAACAACCGGAAAATCAAATTTCATCTCGCCTCTACCTGCCAGCCTGTCACCACTATCACAATGCCTGGTTCTGAATTGTGGATGGTCAGCCCCATCGCCAGCAACGTCGTTCACTTCGCTGGCTATAAAACGTGTGCCCTCATTGGCAGCGCTTCATGGGCTTGGTGGCTGCTTCGTTTCGTCACCAACTAATCCACTGCTCTTCGCTATGCAAGTTAGTGTTCTGCAATCACTCTTCACAAAAAAGAGCAGTAATTACTTCTTGCTGCAGCTGCCAAGCCCACGTTGCTGCTGTACGACTGTGGTTGAATGTGTCAGTGCCTTGAGAGTGTTATTGCTACTTGTATCGGGAGACATCGAGTCTAATCCGGGTCCTAATACTACTATACTTGTTGAACTGCAAAAGCTTTCTGCGGGCCAGTCGACTCTCTTAGAGGAAGTGCAGGGACTGGAAAGTCAACTACTATCAACAGAACACGCCCTCTCCGACCTAACAAAACGAATCACTGATATGGAAGAACATTACCAAGCTCTGCTGCCCCTAAAGACAGAACTCGAACTAATTAAAAGTAGCACCGTTCATGCAGCTCGCAAAACAGATGACCTTGAGGCACGTTTGGATGACGCAGAGAACAAATCGCGGCGTAACATTTTTATTTTTCACGGCCTACTAGATGCTAATCCTTCGGAATCGTACACTGAATCTGAAGAACTAATCATTCGTCATTGTCATCAGTACTTAGGCATAGATATTAACCCTAAAGAAATTGATCGTGTGCATCGCTTGGGCCTCCACTGAGTCAACAAATGCAGGCCAATAATCGCGAAGTTAACTTTTCACAAGACAAAACATGAAATCCTTTCAAGCGGACATAAGTTGAAAGGACACATAACATTGGAGAGGATTTCTCATGTCGTGTTAAGAATGCTAGAAGGCATTTGGTTGAGTTCGCAAAGCAGAAGTCCTACCCATTTTCTTTGTGCTATAATATTTTATTTATTTATTTATTTTATTTATGACATACTGCAGGCCCCACAAGGGGCCCAAGCAGGAGGGGCATAATCACTCAAGTATAAACAAACCGACAATACAAGGTAAAATACAGCAACTTCTAAAAAGAAAAAGAAACATACTGTCTCAATTTTCTATATGTTCAATCTCATCAATACTACAGACAACAGATATGGCAGATCATTCCAGTCAGATATAGTGCGGGGATAGAAGGAAAATTTGAAGACGTTAGTTCTGGCGCTGTAGGGGGTCAGGGATGCAGCGTGTCGATGTCGTGTACGCCGAGAAGTCAATGGCTGAATAAACTGATCAGGGCTAATGCCGAGTTTGTTGCTCTTAAGCTGGTAAAGAAATTTAAGCCTTTCTATTTTACGTCGTGCCTGCAACGTTTGGATCCCGTGCTCTTTCATGAGAGTAGTAGGCGAGTCTGATAAACGATATTTTGAGTAGATAAAGCGAACCGCTTTGCGCTGTATCATTTCAAGAGCCTGAATATTTTTTTGCTTGTGCGGGTCCCAAACTGAGCATGCGTATTCGAGTTTCGGTCTAATAATCGATGTGTATGCAAGAAGTTTAACACTTGGAGGAGCTAATTTAAGTTTGTGTCTGAGAAGGCAGAGCTTGCGAAAAGAGGACGCACAGACGTTGGAAACGTGCTGATTCCAACTTAGGTTGTTTGTAATGGTGACACCAAGGTACTTGTAACAACTGACTTCACAAAGCGGTCGTTCAGGAAGCTCATAGGAAAACGACAAGCTGTTCTTCTTTTTAGTAATTTTCATGAAGACCGATTTTTCGGCATTTAACTTCATATTCCACTTTGTGCACCATGCCTGTATGCTAAGAAGGTTAGAATTTAATTGAATTTGATCCTCGTGGCAAGTTATTTCGTTAAAAAGAATACAATCATCTGCAAATAGTCTAATTTGTACTGGGCTGGTAATCACATCAACAATATCATTAATATATATAAGAAACAAAAGAAGGCCTAGTACACTACCTTGCGGAACGCCAGATGTGACGGGTAAAGATTTGGAACATTTATCAGTAATACTAACATATTGCGTGCGGTCAGATAGATAAGAAGAAATCCAGTTTGTTAAAAAGGCCGGAAGTTCAATTGCCTGTAGTTTGAGCATGAGTTGCGAATGTGAAACAAGGTCAAAGGCCTTTCGAAAATCGAGGAAAATTACGTCGACCTGGCCAGTCTTATCAAGGACGCCGGCAAAACTGTGAACAATAGAGGTTAATTGAGTGACAGTAGAAAATCCTTTTCTAAAACCATGTTGGAAGCAGGATAATAAACCGTTATCGTTGAGAAACTTGGAAATGTAGTTAGCTATAATATGTTCTAAAATTTTACAGCAAGATGATGTTAATGAAATGGGACGATAATTACCAGGAACCATGACATCGCCTTTTTTAAACACGGGAACAATGCGTCCGACTTTCCAATCAAAGGGTAGGACACCAGAAGATAATGATGTGTTGAAAATTGCCACAAGAAAGGGCGATAATGCTTCAGCGTAACAGGAAAGAAAAACGTTCGGTATCCCGTCAGGACCAGGTGAAGACTTAGTTTTTAGGTCAAGCATCATAGAAATCACACCAGTTATAGACACAATATCAGCATTGATTCTGCAATTGGAAACAATTTGGGGCATAGGCTCATGTACTGTCGAAAATACACCGTGGAAATAAGCGTTGAAATGCTCAGCAATGTCTGTCTTATCAACGAGGAGCGCATTATCGTGACGTAATTTTTCAATAGGTTTTCTTTTGTTCGACAAGAAGTTCCAAAATTTCTGTGGAGCAGATCGAATGAAATTCGGCAACTCGTGCTCAAAATAACTTCGTTTAGTGCTTGCTACGGCTTGATTAAGGGCTAATTGAGTGGTTTGAATGATGTCACGAGAGGGCACTCCTCGCTTCAGGCGTTTTAATTTTCTTTTCAAGTGTAAAATATCCCGTGAAATCCAAGGGGTTAGCTTACGCGTCTTTTTTACCTTGTCTGGAACAAAATGTTCGATACAGTGAAGACACATGTTCTTGAAAGTATCCCACATTTGGGCAGTGTTAGAACCGTGGAAGTTGCTTAGGCGGAGTTCTAAATAATCTAACACAGATTCATCATGGGCACGGGAAACATTTTCGACGCGAATACATTTAGCTCGAGGCACAGTACACATTTTTTCCACAGAGCATGAAAAAGACACCATATGGTGGTCAGAAAGACCATTTTCAATGCAGACATAATAATTTTGTATTGATTGACTTACAAAAACAAGGTCAAGTACAGAAGCACAGGTCATGCCGACACGTGTTGGTTGCTTCACCACCTGGCGCAAATCATGGCACATCATTATATCTAGTAGATACGAGGTTTGCGGGGATTGTCCGACACTGGCAAAAGCGGAGTCCCAATTTACGTTAGGCATGTTAAAATCGCCCACAAGAAATATTCTGTCATGCTTGTATGATGCCATGTGTTCGTGTAAGTCATGCAGAAACCGAGGAGGCGAGTCAGGTGCACAATACACAGCAAAGATAAGAAATGAACGCCCACAGAAGGATACCTTCAAAGAAAGGGTTTCGTGGTCGTCAATCTGATTAAGAAGCGTCGCATCAAGAGGCATAATGCCTCTTGATGCGACGCATAATGCCGCGCAAAAAAAAGACGTACACAAAAAAAAGCTAGGCCCAAGGTCAGTTGCCTGTTATTATCATTTTGTTTCCTCTGTGTTCGTTTCATCGCATTTGTCAAGTACGTCACA